TCTTTGAGAGTGTTATTTATGTCCTTCTTAAAGTCCTCTATCATCATCATTAGAAGTGATTTTAAATCTGAAACTGGCTTTCCTGGTGATATGGGGAATTCAGGACTTTCTAGTGTGGGAGAACTAGGTTCTAATGATGCCAAGTACCTTGGGTTGCTGATGCTTATGTTTTTGAGCTTGCCTTTTCCCAACTGGATCTCCTTAGTGCTACCTGACCTGTCTCTTACTGGAGCCTGTCTTTCCTATTATCTTGGTTGTTTCAGAACTGTGTTGGGTGGGTGTTACTACTGGGGTTAGAGCTGGGGCCCAAGATCTGCTCAGTGCTCAGGCCCAGGCGGGAAGGAACCAGTGCTCAGGGCCAGGAGTGAATTCCTGGATCCTTGTGGGTCCTGGTTACTCCCTGTTTGGGGCGGATGTTGCTATCTCCTTACCTAAGATACTGCCCAGGCTAGAGCTCCTGGGAGGCCCGAGCCCGCATCCTCTGGGTTTTGTGAGATTGGATGCAGAGCTGCCGCCCAGGATCTGCTCAGTGCTCGGGCCCAGACCGGAAGGACCGGCTTCCTGACTTTAAAGCAACATGAAACAGACAAAAAATTATCTTCAATAATTACAGACATTTTCTTATGCAGTATTACTGTGTGATATACTGACAGCTGACTGATTAAATAGCAAACTTATTAAAGGGGCTGGGGAGCTGGCTCAGATAAAGTGCTTGCCAACAAGCACGAGGACCACAGGTTGGATCTCAGCACACAACATCAAAGCAAGGCAGGTGTGTGGGCTCCTGCGATTCCAGTACTGGGGAGGCAAAGACCGGAATTCCCCAGAGAAGGCTGGTCAGCTAGCGTAGACAGAGTTGGTGAGCTCTTGATTCCCAGAGACCTTGTGTCACTGAATGAATTGCAGAGAGATCAAGGGAGACATCGAACAACTTCAGTCCTTGGCGTGCACATGCTTAAGGGCACATGCAAACACATGTACACATGCACAGGTACAATAGACACCACACACACACACACACACACACACACACACACTTGTTTGAAATAATGTGGAAGGTACATTAAACATTCTATGATTAAATATATTAATGTTTTAAATTTAGCAGTCTTGAAATACAATCAACTCATTTTCTGTTCAATTTTTTTTTAAGAGGGATTTCCCTTAGATCATGAAAGTTCATTTTTAGAGACAAAGCATTTTCTTTTTACACTCATTCTTGATGTGATGCTTGACTAAATTACATAATTATAATAAATATAACCGACCTTAGCAGGTTATAGAACAAATTTTATTTCCGGCTGGCATGTAGCTCTCTTAGTAGAAAAATGAGATTGGATCCTCTGACTCTGATAGCCTCTATAGAAGCTGAAATAGAGAAGCCATGTGGTCTCCCCATGCTTTTAGGGACAGAAGTCCAGTATTATGTTTAGAGCCAAGACCTTACCGTTCTACAAAGGCACAAGGGAATAGATGATGTGGCAGATGCTGGGTTATTCATAAGTTTGAGTATAGGTGTGTGTGTTGTGTGTGTATTAGAAAGAAGCAGTTTTATTGAGATATAATCTGTGCACTACTATGAATGATCAACTTAAAGCATAGAACTTGTGGCTACTTTGTATTCACAGACTTGAACACCCGTCTCCACAGTTGATTGTGGATACATTTCAATACCTGATTTTTTTTTTTTTGGTAGTATAATATTCCAGCAGGTACACGAACCACAGTTTTACCTATCCATTCATTGGTAACTAACATTTGGTTATTTCCACCACTTGGCTATTGTATAAGATGGTACAATGAACAGGCACTCATGGTTTTTTGTGGGGGAATAGATTATCATTTCCAAGAATGGAAATCCTGGTTGGTGTTTCTTCCTTGAGGAGTGCATAGAATTTTCCGGAGTTGTTCTCTGACTTTCTCTTCCCACTAGCAGTGTGTGAGGGTTTTAGCCACGTTCTTACAGTTTAGCACCATCAGCCTTAGTCAGCTTGGGATATGGCAAGGAGTACCATAGACTGGCGAATCAAGTTCGTTTCTCAGTCCTGGAGGTGGAGAAGTCTATGATCAAGGCAGATCTGGTATCTGGCCAGAGCCCATTTCCTGGTTTAGCAGATAGAGGAAGCAGGCTCTTCTGTCCTTTTGGTAAGGGTAACATTCCCATTCCGGGGACCGCGCCCTCATGCTCTGACTGCCCCTGAAAGTCCCCACCACCTCTGCTGGACTTAGTATGTCAGAATGTGAGTTTAGGGATGGGGCACGTCCATTCATCCATAATACTGTCCTCGTCAGATATTACTTTTGAAAGTTTTTTTCCCTGATTATCATAATAACAAATCTTTAGAGAAAAGTGTAAGAGACATATCACTTGTTTAAAACCACTGCCTAGCAATAAAAGTATTTTCTCTCCGCATTTTAAATTTAGTTTGGTATTGTGTTATCTGTGATTGCCTCTCAGAAGAACTGTTCCCTTGCTACTGGTAGCAATTCTACATATACCCAGTGCCTACTGTATACTAGCACTGTGTGCATTAGTGAATGAGCTGGTTTTTAAGTCTAGCTCCTGTGTACCTTCCCCCTTTGGCTTAGTAACATTTCTGCACATTATTTTTGAAACGATTTTAAATTTTTACACTAAAGAATGCCACTTTCATTCTCCTCTTTTTTATCTTGAGTTGTTTTTTTTTTTTTTTTTTGAAATTTTATGCTATATTCGAGTGGTTCAGAGACAGAGTAGAGACAGAGAAGCTTCTACTTTCGGTGGTGGATGGCGATTAGAGAGGACCCATAATTTACGAAGGCACTGAAAACTCGGGGATGGAGAGTGCTCAGCCTTAAAGGGATCACTGTGAGGAAGGAGCAGACAGTGTAGGAGGCGGAGGCAGGGCATGACTACAGGGAGACTGCGCATACAAACTCATGACGGTCCTGGCGGCACACATCAGACCTGGGTAGACCAAATCCCAGCATAGAGAGGGGAGCTGGGCCCGATATCCCACCCTGTCGGCAGCTGTTAGGTGCTTGGTGGGTGGGGATATAGCCCTGGTGAGTCGCCACACCCCAATGGAGAACTACACATGGAAGAATGTTTGGGTAGTGAATTGGTCTTGAGTTTCAAAAAGCACACGAAGTTGGATGGATGACGAAATGGAGGGAGCGAATCTGAATCAAACACATGGTACAGACGTCTCAAGAATTAATAAAAGTAACAACTCCCAGAAGAATTTGTGGTGAATTCATCAGGCTCAACTACAAACTCTAGGTCGGGTGTCATAGATGGGGAACCTTCCAAGGAAGCCATACATTTTTTTTTCTACTTCAGATGTGTTTACATTTCGTGCCCATTTTTTCTTTTCTTTTGAGAAATAATATAAACAGCATTTGTGTGTTGAATTCTGCAAGCGTCTTAAGTTCTTGAGTCTGAGCTGGGAACATTTTAGAGAGCCCCTGTCACACGCTGACAAGTCAGCCATCTCAGCAGTGTGCCCCGATGCCTTCCTAGACCTTCCCCAGCAGCGAGGAAATGTGGACAACAGTGGGATTTCAGGGTGCCCAGGATAGAGTCTGCAGGTTCAGTGGCTGATCCATGGAGAGCCAGTATCCTGTCTGCACTTGGGGTATGTTGGATTGCTGCGAGCAGCAAGGGGGTCCCCCTGATGGACGAGGAGGGAGATAGCCATGGGTTTTTCAGAAAAGTGACCCTGGGCTACATGGCTATGAAACTGGAGGAATCAGCTTATTTTGGAAACTTGTTTCGATAACACATACCTCTCCTATCCTTGTGTCCTTACGTCCGCCGTGGCAATCAATTGACCCACATCTCGTGTGACTTTAAGTGCTTTTGAGATCACCAACCCTACTTTTGAGACAGGGTCTTCTGCCACCTAAGCTGGTGTCTAATGCATTGTATAGAACTCCCGATCCTCCTGGCCTCCCCCCAACCCCCACCACGTGCTAGAATTATAGGCCTGCGCCACCATGCCCAACTTAACATGTTATTTTCTTAAACACAGAATGTAACATAACGTTCTGTAGCTTGCTTATTTAATATAGCCAGGTGGTCTTCTCATGGCTGCTCACAGTACATCTGCGTATCCCAGCTGTGTGGAATGCATAGGCAATCTCCATTTAGTTTTTAGCCCATCCTTTTGGGCTGTTGTCTGTTTTCCTTTTACAAGTGGCCCCACACTGATCTGGTTGTCCAGCTGTTACTCTGCACATGCGATTGTATGTGTAGGATGGCATTTCCGAGGTCACTGGTTAATTGCAGACCTCACTACTAGCATACTGATACCACCCCCAGCATTTGCAGAACACCTGTGCCTTAAGGGGCCCTGTGTAGGAAGAAAGGTAACTTCAGGGTCATTGTCCCAAGTCCCCAGATGTTGTGTCCTTAAGCTAAAGAAACACTACCATGACTGTTTCCCAGAGAAGCAAGTAACTATGACTGGCATTTCCTTTAAGATTGTAACATACTTGAGAAAGATGGACGATGGTGTGGAAAAGAAACATTTAAGTTAGGGCCCTCAAGGCTAATTCTCTTTGTCCTGTATCTCCATATAGACAGTTGGATACTTTGTTTTTGTTTGTGAGACATGCTTTTACTGTGTAGCCCTGGCTGGCCTGGAACTGGCTATGGAGGACTAGACTGGCCTGGAAGGTTCAGTGAGCTGCTTGTCCCTGCCTCTTGAATGCTGGGACTAAAGGGGTGAGCCACCAAACCAAGCCTTGAGACCCCCCCCCCCAACCCTTTTAAATCTTACTTTTTATGCTGTTGGTGATAGAGCCTGTGAGAATGCTTGCTGGGCAAGGGCTCTGCCACTGAGCTGCATTCCCAGCCCTGAGGGGATTTTTTTTTTTTTAATAGACAGATTTTTGACCAAATTGTGGATTGCCATACTTATCTTAGTAGCATGTTCCATGGCAGTCGCTAAAGTGCTATGAGTTTTGTTTGAGACCCGGATATGAGGAATAACCACCTCCACGCTTCTGTCTTCCAGCCTTCGACATTCCGGAAGCACTCTGCTACACACATGGAGCGACCCTGCTGCTTTTTCCCAGCGTGCCCCCTTCAGTGCCTGTAAAGTACAAGCTCCAGGTTGAAGAAGCTTCTAGATGGATCCTTTCCAAATTTGGTGTCTTTTCTACAAACTCTGTGCCTCAACCTCAATTTCTAAGTGGTAAGGCTGTGTACTTAAGAAAATGGATTTTATTTATTTTGTGTATGTGTATATGATTGGGTATGTGCAAGTGTGCAGGCGTGTAGAGGTTGTGAGAGTTGAGTCTGCCCTTCCATCCTGTGGATCCTATGGATGGGACTCGTCAGGCTTGGTGCCCAGCCCTTTAAAGGATGATGGGAATTGTTCTTTGGACTGCCTTTCCCAGGCCCTCTCTTTTTATATATAAGTCACAGTTATTTCTGGTAATTTCTTCTGAACTCCATCTAAAAATAGCAGTAACACAGGTTTTTGGAAAGCTTTTAAGCGGTCTTTCTGTATGCCTTGCTGCTATAACATAGCACTTAATATTAGTAGTAATAATGCGTGTAAAAATAGTTGTGTAAGTCACTTTTCATTGCTATGACAAAATACTCTAGCAAACCAACTTAAAAAGAAGAATGGTTTTTTGGGGTTCCTGATTTCAGAGGCACCAGGCTGCAGTCAGATGGCTCCACGGCTTTTAAGCCTCTGGCAGACCCATCACAATAGAAAGGTACAGCAAAGGGAAGTGGCCAGGGTACAGAGAAAGAGAGAGCCTGTAATGACTGCTTCCTCTCTCTGACATTGTTATACTGGGGTCTCCAAGTTGCCGGACATTACCGCTCACATTCTGGGCAGGCGTTGTCTTCTCGGTTGCTATCCCAAGTCTCCTTCTACCTTAAAAATGCTTTATTAATTTCCTTGGGGATTCTCAGCGTAATTACTATAGCAGTCCAGAGTAAGAGTAGTCAGACACACGGCCTGATGTGTGTACTTGGTAGGCTTTGGTTCTTCATAATTCCTTCAAGTCCTTGTGATTGGAAATCATGCAAACCCTCATGGCGCTCATCGGAGAGGTGTGCGATGTCAGCTCTTTTTAATGCATGGCCTTGCTTGTGCCTTTCCATACGTGAGGTTTACTTAGAACACGTCTTTGGACAGAAAGGGCAGAAGAAGAAGACTGAGCAGAACACATTGCTGAAATGGGAAACCTTAACAAATGAATTGGTTGACATAGGCCCCCCTTTGCAGCCGTTAGCACATGCTTACCAAATGCTTGCTGTTTATGAATGAAATACTTAGTGACTTTTAGCATAATAAAGTCATCAGATGGAAACCTGGACCTTAGATGGGGTCCGTAGTAGCAGGGTGGAGAAGGGCGTCTGTGTGGTTCATTCAACTGGACTTCTTGCCATCAACTATGTTGGATTTTTAAAGAGTGAAAACTAATTAGCCGTTGATATCAGTTTTCTCGCGCATACAATAATTCAATTGAATTATTTGTGAATTTAATGTTTTAAAGACTTAATACCTTGTTAGTTCAATGAACAAACTGAAAGAACTTTGATTTTTTTTTTAATAAAAAAAAAGATATAGTTTTTTTTTTTTAAGATATAGTCTCTTCTCTCTCCCATCTGGTGAGATAGTTTTGGTCTATTTGTTAAGTTATGAGACAGGAATAAGACACCTGATTGTCTTAGGGTTTCTATTGTTGTGAAGAGACACTATGTATGACCATGGCAAATTTTATAGAGGAAAACATTTAATTGGGGCTGGCTTACAGTTCAGAGGTTAGTCCTTTACCATCATGGCAGGAAGCATGACAGTACTCAGGCAGACATGGTGCTGGAGACGGAGCTGAGAGTTCTCCATCCATCTATCAGGCTGCAGTACCACACTGGTACTGGCTTGAGCATGTGAAACGTCAAAGCCAGCCCCCTAGTGACACACTTCCTCCAACAAAGCAACATCTACTCCCACAGGGCCACAGCTTCTAATAGTTTTACTCTCTTTGGGCCTATGGGGGCCATTTTCTTTTAAACCACATACTGCTATTAAATTACTTTCTAGTTTGTACCTCTCTCTGCAAGTTGGTGCCTTTCATCCTTTTCTTCCTGCATTCTCAGTCTTTTCTTCTCCTGACCTCCAGGACTCTCCTTATTTGGCCCTGATGTTTTTTCTGTCCCCCTTTCTACTGTTCTTCACTGTATTTTTGGTGCTTGGATTTCCCAGGCTTGCCTGGTATCCATTAGTTTCCCCTTAGATGTTTTCCAGGGTCAGCATCTCTTAGATCAGTGGTTCCAGCCCCAAAACCCTTAAAAAATACAGGTGTCTTCTGAAGACTAGAAACAGCTGAAAGCCATCCACTAGTCTTAGTGCCCTCGGATTGAGCCCCGAGTTCTGTACCCTCATTCCCCGACTTCTGTCTTCAGCCTCATCTTTGCCTGGGAGTCGGGACTGTTCCCTTCCCATGTATTGAAATCAGGGTCTTTGTTTTAGCTCAGCAGTTTTCTTCTTATGTCTGAAGAATTTTTTTCTTTGTCTTTTGCTATTTTGAAATCTCCAGTAGTGAGAAATTAAACTATAGGCAGAGTAGACTGGTGAGCTAGTATCCTTTGTCTTCACCCTTCAGAGGAGAGAATGATGGGTCATAGGCAAATTGTTTCTCTTCAGTAACTCTCCTCTCCTGCCTGTGTTACTTTGAAGCAAGATCCTACACATCTGCATTTGCAGTATGAATCCTTAAGTCTCTTTATTTCAGTATAAAAGATGGTGATACTCAAGTTACAGTGTCACGAATGAGTCTTAAGTTCTCTCAGGCTACTTTAAAAATAGGTGATTTGATTGGATGAGGGCTGGTAAGCCCTTCCTCCCCATCGTACTTGGATAATCCTTCAAGTTCTTTCCCTTGTGCCCCGTCTCCCTCCCCTTCTCGTTTCTGAAAAACAGTAAGTAACTTGGGTCCTCTTTAGATGTGGAGGTTCCTGGCAACAGCCCTGTGAGCAGATGAGGTCCTCTCTCCTGTCCTTTGTGTCTCCTGATAACCAGTACGGAGCTTGGGTCATGATACTTGATCATGTTAAGGTCTGATGACTTTAGTCAAGTCTGTGTCTGTCACCAAATGTCTGTCTAGGGCTTCCACCAAGTATTCCCCACCAAGCCCTCCCCCAAAGCATTACCTACAATCAGGTCAAGGGTTGGAAGGTTTTTTTCTTTTCCTGTAACATTAGTTTGTATTTGAAGACCTTCACCTTTCCTCTCTTGTGGCTTAGACAGCTGCTAAGGTAAAGGTAAAGCAACTAGTCAGTGTAAATGAATGGCCAAGGTTGTGTTCTAATAAAACTTTATTTACAAAATTGGTTTTGTTTGACCCTTTGTTTTTGGGACTCTTGAATAATACAGGGGTTTGTGAAACAGTAGTATTTAACATTGTAGTCCTTTGTAGTGTACTAGAGAGAGCACGTACCTGTTACCCAGTTGGGATAGCTTCTTCAGTTGTTTCTTTGCTACTTAGATTGACATTTCCTTCTTATTCCTGGTATCAGCAGCCTCTCCAAGGAGTTTCTAATTCTTTTGTTTTGTTTTGTTTTTTTCACAATGGAGTGTTAAGAATGCAATGCAGGTTCTAGGGGTTCTCATATAAGCTGGTACTTCCTATTTAGTTTCAGATGCCTAACTTATTTTTTCATTGTATACTAATACTAATTTCTTTCATCTGCAAATCTGCTTCTTAATGGCACCATGAATAATATGACTAGAACATTAAATAATTACTTTTATGCAACTGTCTCAGCAATAATAAACTCTCTGTCTGGCTTTTTTTTTTCTTAACAATGTATCTGTGACTCTGGACATGGTGACTTGTTATAATATTTGGGAAGCTAAGGCAGGAGGATTGCTGTGGGTTTGAGGCCAGCCAGGACTATGTAGCAAGACCCTATCTCAACTAGGCAAACTAGCTGGATGTGGTATTATGTGCCATTAGTCTTAGTGCTCAGGAAGCATAGACAGTTGCATCTTTGTGAGTTGGAGGCCAGGCTTATCTATAGTGAGTTTCTGGATAGTCAGCCCAAGCTACACAGTAAGACTCTGTCTCAAAATCAACCAGCCAGTCAACCAACCAACCAACCAACCAACCAACCAACCACCCACCCAGCCACCCAACCAACCAACTCCGTAAACCAATCAACCAACCAACCAAATAAAACCCTATTGAAACAAACAAACAACACAATTGTCTGTGATATCCATCCCCCCACCCGCTGTGTGGTGTCTGTGGGACTCCCCCATGTTGTGTGAAATGACAGTCCTTTCATTCATGTACACTAACTTTTCATTGTGTGAAATGCTACTATTTGCTTTTCCATTCTCCTGCTGATGGAATTAAGTTGCCCTGAATTCTTCTGTATGCCTTTGGTAGACGTTGTATGCTTTATTTATTTTCTCTCACATGTACTCTGGGGTGGAATTAGTAAATTGTTTTTGGACACAGGCACATGGCCCTAAGAACGATAAAAGAACTGCGTGTGTCAGTTATCTATTGCTCCGTGACAAATTCTCCCTAAGCATCCCAGCCTTCCATGGTAAACACCATTATCTGACAGTTGGTGTCTGTCTGCTTCTTTGAGGTGCAGCTTTGCTGAATGCTTCTAGCCAGAGCCTCTCATAAACTGCCATGGTGGTATTTCTGGAGCCACAGTCATTTCATCTGGTTGAGGGGGGTGGCACAGAGCCTTCTGCACTGTGTTCCAGCCCACTCTTGTACCCTTTGGCAAGATTCAGATCCTTTCTGGCTCTTGGTCAGAAGCTCACTTCTTTTTCTTCAGTGCTGGAGATTAAACCTAGGGCCTCACACGCTCCTTCACTGCACACAGCTCAGTAGTTACCCACCTTGACGGTATTTAAGCGTACATACAACTCAGTGGCGCGAAGCACATTCTCGCTGTTACAGCTCAGTCATCGGCCCCTCCCATTTGCAGAACTTTTTCATGGTCCACAGTTGAGCTGATTGAACGGAATGGATTCATTGTATCAGTTTAGTCGTGTAACTCTCTTCTCTGTCCAGACCCGCCCCACACAACCATGATGTTACTGTGTTATTCTCTGTATAGAGCCTGGCTACTTCAGAAGTGCAGTCATATCAACTTTCCCCTTGGCTTATTTCCCTCAGCACAATGCTATCAAGGTCATTTACACTGTGG